TGCAGCAAGTATTGCACTAATTTCTCATGCAAACAAAGTGGTACTCAAAATCTTACAACAAAGACTGTTACCATATATGGAATGAGAAATGCTAGATGTTTAAACTGGATTCAGAAAAGGAAGAGGCACTAAAGATCATATTGCAAATTTACATTGGCTACTGGAACGTACAAGAGAATTTCAGAAGAAAACCAGTTTATATTTCATAGATTACAATAAAGGTTTTGACTGTATGGATCAGGAAAAGTTATGGATGGTTTTAAAAGAAAGGGGCGTGTCACAGCATCTGATTATTTTGATGCACCAGCTGTACTCTGGACAAGAGGCTTATGTTAGGACAGAATACAGAGAAACAGAAGGGTTTCCAGTTGGCAAAGGTGTCAGATGATGTATTTTATCTCTCTGTCTCTTCAATCTGTATGCAGAACATATCATAAGGAAAGATGGATTAGATTTAGATGAAGGTGGAGTGAAAATTGGTGGAAGGACTATTAACCATTTGAGAGATGCAGATTACACCACATTAATGCCATAGACAGTGAAGACACAGCTCCTGATGAAAGCGAAAGCAGAAAGTGCCAATGCAGGATTACAGCGGGACATCAAGAAGACAAAAGTAATGACTACTAGGGAGTTATACAGCTTTAAGGTTGACAATGAAGAAATTGAAATTGTTCAAGATTTTCTTTTACTTGGCTCCATCATCAACCAAGGGTAGATTGCAACCAATAAATTAGGAGGATATTGAGACTGAGAATGGCAGCCATGAAGGAGCTAGAAAAGATTCTTAAGTGTAGGGATGGTTCTTCGGGTTAGTAGAAAGGCAAAGCAGGGACTTGAGATCTCTCCTGCCTTGGATGGGGCTATATTTCCCTTGAAAAGCCAGGTTCACAGCTTTGGAGTGCCTCTTGACACAACAGTCACTTTAGACATCCAGATGGTTGCGGTGGTTCAGAGTGCCTTTGCCCAGCTTCTGTGGGTGCATCAGCTGTATTCATTCCTGTGTTAGTCAGATCTAGCTACAATGATCCATGCCTTAGTTACATCTAGACTGGTCTATTGCAATGTGCTCTAGCCAGGGCTACCCTTGAAGAGTATCTGGAGGCTGCAGCCAGTATAGAATTCTGAGGCTAGACTGCTGTTTGGCACCAAGTATCTACAGCAATTACACTACAGTATCTACAGCAATTATACTACACCAAGTATCTACAGCAATTATACTACACCAAGTATCTACAGCAATTATACTACAGCAATTACACTGGCTACCAATCTGCTCTTGAGCCCAATTCAAAGTGTTTCTTTTGTCCTTTAAAGCCCTTCATAGATTAGGATCGTTATATCTGAAGGGTTGTCTTCTCCCATATGTTCCTGCCCAGGAATTCAGATGACAGAAAAAGGCTCTCCTGATTGTCCCACCAATAAAAAAATCTTATCTGCTGGAAACATGAGAAAGGGCCTTTTTGGTGGCAGCCCCATCATTATGGAACAACCTCCCCAGGGAGGTGTGCCTTATTCCTCACTTTTGATCTTCAGGAGGCAGCTGAAGACAGTTTTATTTAGGACTGCATTTGACTAATTTAATTTTATTTATTGGTAGCTCTAATTGAATTTTGAACTATCGTATTTTATGTGTTTTATAAATGTTGTTTTATTTATATTGTAAGCCTCCTTGAGTGCCACAAGGTTAAAAGGAGTCTGAAAATATTTTAAATAAATAAAATATAGGGTTTTATGTATACCATTTTGAGTTTTTAAGGGGAAAGTGGTATAGAAATAAAATACTGAATATATTTTTCTTTGGTTTTGCCCTGTTCGTGACATATGGAATTTTTCCTTAACATGAACACCAACACTCATTCCAATATTTCTCCATGCAAGGCATATATCACATTACAGTATATTTTGCATTTTCTCCCCCTTGAAAGTATATTTGTGTGGGGGGTTGATGTGATATTTGAACTTGAAATATAGAATTGTGCTCTGATGTGTGTATTATTATTATTACTATTATTATTTATTATGAATGGTTGTTTTGGAGGGTGGAGTCTATGGCTTTGTACCTGTCTGAGGTCCCACGCCTCCTGAAACCTCACCCTCTCCAGGCTCCATCCCTCACATCTCCAGGAATTTCCCACCTGGAGTTGGCAACCCTATCTCCTTCCCAGCCAATCATCAACCTACCTTTATTTCCCCCTCACTCTTCAGCTTTCCACCCCCACACACACCTGCAGCCTCTTTTGTGCTCTGAAGCCCTGACTGCTACGTCACATTGGCTGTCATACGGGGGCCACCTCAGGAGCATATAAGGATACAGAGCCCACCATTTTCTCCAGGGAAACTGATCTCTGCCATCTGGAAAGCAGTTGTAATTCTGAGTGATCTCCAGCCCTCACCTGGAGATTGGACACATTTTACCTCAGAACAGCAAAACTGTTTAGAATGTTAGAGGCAAAAACCAATCAAGTCACATATGCAAATGACCTCTGTGTTCCGAGGCAGAGGCTAATGAGGCTGCATATGCAAATAACCTCTGTGTTCTGACTGGCTATGGGGGGGGAGAGGATTAGCAAAATGCTTAGAATGTTGGAGGCAGGACTCAGGGAAAGCAGCCAGTGGATAGGGAGACCCTCTGAATGACAGATCAGAGAGGGAACTGATTTTGGAGCGTGTGGAATGTTCTAGAGAAGTGCCACCACCATTCGGCTTTTATTTATAAGGGAGATGGTTTATGTGTTATAAGGCTATAAGCTGTGGCTGGGGCCACATCTGTTAATTTTCCTGTGGCACATGCTTTAGTGATAAGCACAGAATCTGATAGATGATGTTGAGGCTCTGGAAAATAGGCCATTCCCAAGAAAGGATCCTCCAGACTCTGTAACACATATATTCATATGCCTAGTCTATTACAACACTGCCATAAAATATCTATATATGTGAGATTTTTTGCTGGTGACTCTCTTATTAATGTTCCCTTAACTGCTCATCCCATTTAAGGATAAACTTGACAGATGTGTACTTGTTTCAGACACATATGTTAAGCTTTCTTTTCCATCTAATTGTAGTTTGGATCCTTGCCTATTGCTCATGGCCGCTAAATAGGCTCATTTGGGACAATTGCTGGTGGATATAACCAATGGCTCATTGGATGGAGAAGGAATTTTCTGTCTCCATCAAGAAAGTAGTGATTAGGCTTCTGACAGAGAAATATTCCAAAGGTGTTATGTTTTAGCTATTCATTTACTTCATTCATATATACACTGCCTTTCTCCCCAAAACGGCTTACATCATTCTCCTTTCCTCCATTAATCCTTGGAACAACCCTGCAAGGTATGTTAGACTGAAAGTGTGTGACTGGTTCAAGGTCACCCAGCAAGCTTCCATGGCTATTGGCCAGTGTTAACCTTGTCTTTTGGGGAAGTTGATTGGATGTGTGATGGCAGACCAGAATTTCCTGTGGCGAGGTATTGTTCCTTGACCCTTTTAACTTTGGCTTAAGTTTTACATTTAGTCTGGCAAGAGACAGGAGGAATGCTTCCCTGTTGATTCCCCTTTGTGAGATATGATGTCATGAATCGTGTTCTTGTACTGTTTGGGCCACAATGATAGGCAAGAGTTTGGTGTTAGTTTGGCTTCACTCCCCCCCCCCCAGAATACTCCTGAAAAGTTTTAATGGGAGATGCCTACTGTTTCCTGATAGATACATTGTGGATGAGGCTCTACAAGTTTCATGAAAACGTTGTCTAGGAACTCTGGGAATGACTGTCCAGCAATACATTTCTTTAAGATACCAGATGATTTCTTTAGGACATCAGTTCTAAAGGCATATTTTGGAAACCATAGTCAGGTACAGGAACAAACAGAAGTTGAATCCAGTCAAGATGGTGAATGCTGAATCAGAGGGCCAAGGTTTGGGTTGCATATGGTCTACCTGCCATTGCTAGGGATTCTGTGCATTGAGCAGATATGCAGAAAAACAAACCAGGATCACAGTGTAAAAACCTAATAACAAGATTTATGGCTACGGTATTTTATAATTAATAAAAATACAAATGGACCTTACACGTTACATAGAAAAATATTTTGCTGGCGAGTATTCGAGCAGGAGGCTTCCTACCTGATTAATGAAACATTAATGGACTGGCTTGCTTCTTGTGTAAAAGTTCAGTTGTAAATACAAGGGGGATAATTTCTGAGGAAGATCTACAATTAATAACCTGAGGAAGCTCAACTACAAAACAGGCTTACATCTAGATGCTCATCAACTTACTACAACTCATTACAGTTATCCCTTGCTGTTTGTGACCTCTGTAATGTGTTCTGTGTTGAGCTGTCTTTTAAAGATAATTCCAAACCTATATAGTTGGCAGGAAGAACCATATCAAACTAGCTGTGCTCCAACTACCGATTGCTGGTGAGCTTTCAAGTCCAATTTAAGATACTAATTCATGCCTTTGGAGATCTCTATGACCTGGCATCAGCATTTATTAGAAATTGCCTCTCCCTGTATGAGACCATTCAAGGTCATCTTCAGGAGCCCTGTTTTTGAAACCTTGTATTCAGGAGGCCAAGTAACTGGAATCACTATGAGTTTTTTTGAGAAAAGATGGAAGTAAAAGTATTTAAAACTGTTATTTGACCAAAGTGTGGTTCTTTACTCAGCTTCAAACAATGAGTTGGAAGTGAATCCACATATTTCAACAGTGTAGAGATTTGAACAAGTTTGTATACTTGCGGTATGTGAAATGGTTCCGGCAGAAATGGAAAAAAATAGCTTGTTTGAGGAATCCTTTTTTTAATATAAACTGCTGTAACCTTATTTATTTATTCATCCACTTATTTAGAATACTTATATACCTGCCTTTCTCCTTAGCATCTCAGAAGCCAAGGTGGGTAACAACAGTGTAAAACAATATAAATTTTCAAATAAACATTAAAACAACAGATTTACAAAGTAATCTAAAAACAATAATCACATAAACTCTACATTTGCCCTCTAGGTGGCAGCATATGATTTCAGTCTTCTAGTACATGTTAATGTCAGTAAGACTCTATCTTCATCTGATAATACAGTAACAAATACAAGTCCTGCTGGTTCAGCAAAGCATCTCATTGTCCCACATCCTCAAATGTTGACTATACCTACTCAACTTTGTAAAGTTCAAGCAACTGGTATGTAAACTTAACAAGCAAACTTAAATATATGTATAGAATTTGTTAGATAATCTGTTTTCAAGCAGTTTTTGAATTATGACAATAAAGATATGGGAGTCTTTAATGCAATCCAAAACGGACTCTCCTCAATTTTAACCCCCTCCTGTGGATCTTCAAAAACCGTGTCCTGTTCCTGCAGGTGCTATACAAACTATTTATATAATTCTGTGATCGTTGTTAGCTACGTTTTATTAACACCTAAGGGCAATGTTGTAGTGAGGGGAAAACCTGTAGAGTAAATGTGAGTGTGTATGTGTGTAATTTGTCTGTGTACATGGTATATAGAAATGGACTGTACCCAAAACATTCCTTGAAATGTATGGTTCTTCTCTTTACACACCTACCAGTTCCACAGTTTTTCACAGTCTTTTTCTTTAGGTTTCAAAAGTGATCTCCCAGAAACTCTACTAGTTATTTCTGTCCAATGAGGCAATCTATTTTTCCACCCTACATTTCTTCCTTGTCTTTGCTTAGGTCACCATCTGTTGTATGCTAATAGTCACCATTTTGTTTAATGCTCTCTGAGATATTGTATCCAAACTTTATTAAAATCCAAGCAGAGTAGATCTAACTGCCTTTTCTTCATCTAGAAAGCCAACTATCATCTTGAAAATGACATACAGTTACATTAGCATAATCTCTTTTTAGTGGGCATGTGTTGTCTTGCATTCCATTTGTTATTGTCTTACATTCTTGCTTTTTAATAATTCAAGTGTAATTAATATGATGAAGTCCCATCAGTTCTCTGAAATGTGTGGTGGATGGCCTATGTTGCCATTAACTTTGATTCCAATTGCAAATTTAAAATCTTTGCCAGCAGGATTTCTTAGTGTATACTTCAAGAAAACATACTGTCCTTCAAGTAAACACTCTCAAAATAATCTGTGTAATCTTAGTTTATAACATGTCACAGCCTGAGATAAAGCAATTTATATAATTTATATAAATATATATAATTTAGCTGTGGGAAACCTATGACAATGCAAAGACATCTACAAGAGCCAGTTTTTTATTTATTCAAAAGTATCATTTTGCTTCATCTTGATTGCTTGAAGACAGATATTGGCACTATCACTGCAGGGGTGTCTGGATATATGGACTCCAATTCCAGATGCTATGCCATCAGTGCCCTCAGAAGAAGAAGAGTTTGGATTTATACCCCACCCTTCACTCAGCGTCTCAGAGTGGCTTACAAACTCCTTTCCCTTCCCCTCCCCACAACAGACACCCTGTGAGGTAGGTGGGACTGAGAGAGCTCAGTTAACACCACCACAACTACTTTGACTTTGATAACGCTTTATATTTTCAGGTTAATGGCACAGCTGAAGGCATGTGCATGACCACAATATGCAAACATTTTCATGGCTGACTTAGATCAATGTTTCCTTAGCTCCTTGTCCATTTACTTGTGTTCTGTAGTTATGATTTATTGATGATGTTTTCATCACTTGGATTGATGGAAAGGAAGAGATTCCATTGCGACTCCAGTAATTTCCACTCCAATATCTACAACACAGACATCAAGTGCATTTCCTGGACACCACTATGCAGGGGACACATAAGCACTATCTTATATTCAAAATGCACTGACCATCAAACATACCTGTATGCTTCCAGCTACCTTTTGGAACATATAAAGCAATGCATAGTCTACATAGTCAAGCAGTGTGTTTCAGTTGTATTTGTTGCAGTTCCCGAGACAGAGACTCCCATTTGAAGGATTTACAAAAACATTTTTTTTGGATTTCAGTACACATCCACTAAAGTAAATAAGCAGATCAAAAGGCCAGACTGGTACCTAGAGTCAGCCTACTACACAACAGCCTCAAAGTAACTAACAGAACATCACTAGTTGTCAGCTACAACTCACAACTTAAACAACTTCAGTTGATCATCAATGACATACAGTTTCTTCTTGGATAAGGATATTTATCTTTCTCAGGCTTTGGGTGGCAGGTTTTCCCTTGCTTGCAGGTAGTCCCACAACTTAAAACAGGTTCTCACCAACAGACCCAGGAACCAAACCCTGTAGCAGACTTTGATGCCAACTTTGTTCCCATGTACACTTGGATAATACTATTATTGGACCGACTAACAGAAGCTACACCATCTTGCGCACATCCACTTATACATCATCCAATTTAATATATGCTATCATGTGCCACCAGTGCCATTCTACCTTCTGCAGTGGGCAACATGCTGGTCTGTGTGAGAGAATCAATGTACACAAATTGGAAGTAAGAAATCTCAACATTCAAAAACCAGGCTGGGAACATTTTAATCTCCCTTGACGTACAATTACAGACCTGAAAGTCACTGCTTTACTTTTAAAAAAGGAATATATAACCTGAAAGTGCTGAATTAGAACTCATCAAGTAACACTATGGGTGCGTTCAGACGGGGCGTTTCTGCCGGCATAAACGCGATCACACTTACCTCCATCTTCCGGATCCCTCCATTGGACGCCCGCTCACACGCTGCGGGCGTCGGCGTTTGTTTTTTTTAAAAGCACAGTTTGAGCATGTGCATAGGCAGCCATTCAGAGAATGGCGATCTTTGCGCATGCTCAACCCCCCTATTACATTTAAACTTTAAAGGTAAGCACTTACCTTTAAAGTTTAAATCCCAACCTGGCCTCCCTGTAGTCCCGGACTCCTCCAGGAAGTTAAACTATGGGCTTTAAAAACAAACAAACAAACCCCCCCCCCTCAGGGCGAAGCTTCGCCCGAGCGCATATCGCTTAGATTAAAAAAAAAATGGCGGGGGGAAGCCGGAAGCCTCAGGCTTCCGACGGAAGTATCTCTGTAACGGAGGAGAGTGATCAGACGCCGGGGTGCACCGTTTACAACCGTTGCACTCAGTTTACCACCACTTGGGACCTAGTGGCAGAGTGCAACGGTTTAAAGGGATTTACAACGGTTAGGAACGGGAGGCAGATGTTCGCCGTGTGAACGCCCGTAAGTACACCGGTTGGAACCGGCACCCTAACCGTTGTAAATCCCCCGTCTGAACGCACCCTATGTGACTTGGTTTGAGTTTTCCCATTTTTCCCCCAGACCACTAGAAAAACTGTCTGAAGAAACACAGGATAAACAAAAAACAAAACCACCAACAAAACCACACTGTGGTGAGCAACTACCTGCAAATGAAATTGGGTGTAAGGGAGGGAAGAAACTGGTGCAGTCAAAAAGCCAAGATGGAGCAAAAAACCTGGTATGGAAAAGCCCCTTGATAGGAAAGTAAGGATTAGATGCAAGTTGATTCATCAGCATCAGCATGTCTGGCCCATGAACTTCTCCTGTTAACCTCCACGAAAAGTGGTTCAGTTTGAAGGTGGTTTGTGGAAGACTTGATTGCACGAACCAAGGTTTGTAAACCATGTGAACCGGGCCCAGTTCGTGACAGATTTCAGTTTGTAACTCAGTTCGTTCCCATCCCTAGTTACGACTGCATCTCCTACCCCATTACCTTATCTCTGAGGTCTAGGTCAGAGCAGCCTCTACCAGGTACTAGTTTATCTTATTGAGTACAGCACTAAATCTACTTTAAGTAGGCATGTACATTCTTTACCTAGCATCATTTATTATATTAGCAGAGTTCCGGCAGAATTCAGGAGTTCAGGGGTTTTAAGGCACACAAAATAAAAAGCTGCTTTTGTTTAATTTCCCGTAATACTTATAGAAGCATTTATAAATGTGTCTGCTTCTTTTCTATGCAGTGTTGCAGCCACCGCTAGAACTTTATTATCAAGATCTAACATTTCAGTGTAACTTAAGAACTATCCACTTGGGTATTGCACATGACAGTAATTCCATAAAGGTAGGTAGAGTGCTTTTAAACTGATTGTTCTTGAATATCTTTTGCTTTACTGATGCAACTTTAAATAGCAATGTTGCCAAAACTCATAATTACCCGGTTATTATATGAGTTTGATCAACTTATAATGCCTGGCTGAGATGCAGATCAAGTGCCATTTCTCCCAAAATGTGTTAACCATCTTGGAATATAAAATGAGATTCAGCATACTTAGTCGGTGTTTAGTTAACCAGCCTACCAACAGCTTTTGCTGTGTTGTTGTTGTTCTGTTGACTCCCTTGTCCTCAGAAAACTGTCTGGTTGGTGTGAAACTAACCAAAAGGGTTTGTGGTTTACAAAACAATACCATGCTGCATGAACAAATAATCTAATTGATTTGGGAGTCATTCTACATTCAACAGTCAGATCTCATGAACACCCAATATAATGTTACGTACCTCACCTGTGGATATATGATTTACGATTCACTAAATTAATCAAAATATAGCAAAAGTAATGCTGATTTTTAAAAAGGGACCAGGAGAGAGGAATGAAAGTACATGGCTGTGTAACCTGTATTGGAGTTAAATTGGTGGAAAGCTTTGTTAAAGATAGAATTTACCAGGCACAAAAGAGATGAACCTTGAAGTGGCCAGGTTTACAGATAACAGCAAATTATTCTGTATGGTAACAACTAGGGAAGTACAGATTCCTCTGGTTGTGTTCTGATTAGGATTTGTTCCATATTTAATCCAGAAGATTAAGTCTGACTGAATTTGACACAATTGACCACTCCATTCTTATCCACCATCTTGAATATGGAGTTGGTATTAAGGGAACGTGAACATTTTGAATGTGTCTTTCAGGTGGTGATTGTTAATAATAAACAGAGTTGTTGATCTTGTGCTAGTCATGAAATGATGATGCCGTTGGTTTTCCCTGCATCTTTCTGCAGAAGCTGCATCTGAACAACATCTCAAAGCAACAGCTTATGTGGAAATTAGATCTCGATGCTGCAGGCAAAGCAGTAGATGATGGCTTCTTCAAGTTTAGTTTACAGTTTGGTACTCTCAGTCCAGGCGAACGTACTGTTGTTACTATATCATTCTGTCCACCTGGTAAGTATTTTTTCTCTGTATTTGTTTGGTGTACATATTATTTAAAATGGATATTGTAGATCAGGGGTACCCAAAGTGGTGACTGTGAATGCTGTGGAGTGTGCTGACACCTTTCCTTAGGCCCGCCAAGTGTTTTTAGATAGTGTGTGCAGCCAGATGGCAATTCTGTCCAGCAGAGCTTCTCTGCTACCAGCTGTGTATGCAAGAAAATGTTTTAAAACAATATGTTCATTTTAAAAGACATCCTGTACAGAGCTTCTAACTGGAATGTAGAAGATTTACTATTAGAGTTATGCATAACCTGATCAGAGGAAAAGGTATAATCCCCCTTGGTCATCCAACCCCTTGTAGTCTTTAAGAATAACCAAACCCTGTCTCTAAGAAGTTGGGCCAACTTGACACCTGCTAAGTTAACCTTACTATCTTTTGACTGTTGCCTTTATACAAAAGGAGAATCCAGATCCATCTCTCCTCTCCAAAACTTGGACCCCAACATCCCTTGACCCAACTCTGGCACTAAAATCCCTGCACAGTAACAGTGGAAATCCCTGCACAGTAACAGTGGAACTCCAGGGTGGAGGGATGTTAAGTTATCCAAAAATCTTCCAACCTGGTCCAATTACAGTGGGAGATGGTGGAACGTATACTGTAATAATAAGCAATGAAAAGTTAGAAGCTTGGAGGAGGGTTTCCAAGGCCATGGTGGGTAGCTGGGAAGCAGAGACTGTTTCACCTCCAAGGTAGTGGAGCCCAGACATGAGATACCAGTTCATCGTCTATCTACAGAAGTAGAAGAGATTGGATTTATACCCCACCCTTCACTACCTGAAGGAGTCTCAGAGTGGCTTACAATCCCTTTCTGTTCCCCTCCCCACAACCGACAGTCTGTGAGGTAGGCAGGGCTGAGAGCGTTCTTTCAAGGACTGCTCTTGAAAGAACAGCTCTGAGAGAACTTGTGATTGACCCAAGGTCACACCAGCAGCTGCATGTGGGGGAGTGGGGAATCAAACCTGGTGCTCCTAACCACTACACCAAACTGTTAGCAGGGATGGGCATGGTCAATAAACACTAGCAAAAAAGATCATCTATAACTCAAATTGCTTGCAGTAAAATACAATCAGATTGTATTTTACTGCAAGCAATGTGTGAAAAAAATTAAATAACTTGAGGGATTAGCCCTTAGAACCCTTTCCAGCTACATTCTAGGGAAGTATATGAAACTCCATGCTTCAAGGGTCAGAGAGTCATTCCTCTACAACTTGTGTGTCTCCTAGATCATGTATACTAAAATTGCTAACCATAGACATTTCTGCATGTTTTTCCCCATTGGTTCTGGCTGCCATATGGCTTCTGGCCTTCATACTGATTCAGCTTACCCTCTGATTTTCACATGCAATTTTGTGCCTTTATTTTTCACTTTGCCCCCCCCCCCTTTCCTGGTTCTTTTGAGACCATTTTACTCTGATTCTTTTCTGGAAGCCAATTTTGAGTCGGCTTTTACCTCATGTGTAAAGTTTCTGTTGGTTTTCTTTGTCCTGCCCATTCCCATCCACCTCTAGTGGTCTGTCATCATCAAACCACTCTTTCTCTTTCCCCGTGTCCTGAAGATGAATGGTTTTATTGTGGACTTCATTAAAAAACAACACTAAAATATTGATATATCAGTATAGTGTCGTAATGATAATTTAAGCGGGTTCTTTAAATTCCCAGCTTTCATTAAAAAAAAAGGAAATCACTAGCTGCTTCCCTTGTGGAGATACAAGAACAAAAAGGCATTTCTCTGGAGGGGAGAGGCTAGAGAACCACTTTTTTAAAAAACGAAAGCTGGGAATTAAAAAAAAACTGCTTGAACTATCACTACAAACCTATGTTACTATATTAACATTTTTGTGTTTTTTAAAGTAGCCATTATATCAATATAAAAAGGTAAAGGTTCCCTTGCTCGAAACCAGTCGAATCCGACTCTAGGGTTGCGGTGCTCATCTCCATTTCAAAGCCAAAGAGCCAGCGCTGTCCGAAGACGTTTCCATGGTCATGTGGCCGGCATGACTAAACACCAAGGCGCACGGAACGCTGTTACCTTCCCACCAAAGTGGTCCCTATTTATCTACTTGCAATTTCTTGCTTTCGAACTTTTGAACTGCTAGGTTGGCAGGAGCTGGAACTAGAGATGGGAGCTCACTCCATTATGCGGCACCCGGGTCTTGAACTGCTGAACTACTGACCTTCCACAGCCTGCAGTTCAGTGTCTTAACCACTTGAGCCACCACAGCTCAAGATAAGCATGCACAAAAATTAAAATGGGGTGTTTTTTTTGCTGTGATGCCACTAACAACAACAGTGCCCTCCCTTGAAAATTCTCACTATTTAAGGCATGTGTGGAAGACAATAAACTGACCCCAGAACTATGAAAATGCAGAGGGAGGGCAAACTGAAGAAATGAGCTCAAACTGATTCCAATGCTTGTGGATCAAAGTGTCAGCAAAATCAGGAGTAAATTGAGCGTATGGAAAAGCCTTACCTTATGGTTAGCCTTTTGGCTAAGATCAAGAGTAGTATCTGTTCTGTTCAATGCAATATATGATACATCCTCTATTTTTAGAAATATATATAGATTGAAAGGTAGAATCTTAACTATGAGAAACAGTAGCAGGCTTTTTTTCTGAAATGTGTTGGACAAGCTTACCCATTTTATTTAAAAGAAAAAAATATTATTTTCCAAGGAAGACAAATGTTAGCAGTTACGTATTCATTAACCTGGCATGGTGGTGGACCAAACAGCACTTGTTGAGGTTTAAAGGAATTACAATGACTGCTGTTCCAACATCTTATGAAAGATAGGCTATTTGTAGTGGATCTTCTTTCTTATATATATAAGAAATTGTGAGAGAGCACATTAGTTTTGTTTTGAACAGCCCGTCCAAGATTATTCAGCTTTGAGTGTCTGTTCTTTGAGCTTAAGGGCAAGCATGAAGCTTGCCCTGGAAAAGTGCCTGAAAGTTATTTTATATTCTGAAAGGTTTTACACCTATTATTGTTTTATATTGTGTTGGCTACAAAGTATTCTTCCCGAGGCCAGAGCAAACGTTGAATTAGTGTCTACCAATCTAGGAAGCCTTTCTGTAGAAACCATTGTAAAACGTATGTTTTTCTTATATGAAACAAGATGTTTTTGAAGGTATCAAGTAGCTTTAATTTAAAGATCCTGGAATCTTTAGTTTGGAAACACTCATTTAGCCAAGTGAAATTAAATGAATGTTGAATGAAATGAATTTTGGCCTATTTCTAATTCTCAGCGAACAGATGTCCCTACCACAGTTATCTCCATTATCGGCAGACATATTTCCAACCTTGTTGGCAGGCTAGAGGACCAAATGGCTAAAAGGACAAAATCTAATCACTTGCCTCTGGGGTGTGTGGCCTTTCCAGATTTTTATGTGAAGCAAATTGTGTAATTGGGGAAGAAGTTTGTGCAGCTGTGATTGCTTGTAGTGCAGTAAATATCCTTTATAATTTTATCTTGCCCTTTTAATTCACCTCAAATGATCTCCGAAAGTTGTCCATGTGAGCAGAAATACATGGTAATGCCCTTCATAGAATTAAACCTAGTTTTTGTTTCCTAAAGGCTGGAGATTTAAGGAAATAGTTCCTTGAGCTTTTATTGGCACCTCAGTAGAACTGTTAGAAGAGTTTGATATGCTTCGTCTTGGATTATCATGTGACAAACCAAAGCATTGTGATTTTTATTTCATATTTCTTGCTAGTCTTGAAATTGCCCTTTTCAAAATAACAAGATATCTGATCCTCCTAAAGAAGTTATTTAGAACTGTCTGTCTGAAAGTAGCTTTTGTGACTATCAGTAGACAAACAAGCCTCATAGAAAAGGTAATGAGAAAGCTTATGTACAAAAATAAAGTCAAACCAAGTTTAGTCCCATTTTTTTCAGTTGCATATAGCAAGGGTTACTGAATAACATTATTTCCGATAATGTATTCTGAGTGATGTGATGTTAGGTGCAGTGCTGTGGCATGTAGCCAGATAGCAAAAACCAAAACCCTACTGTTACTGTCATTATGTAACTTATGTTTTCATTCTATGGCAGGGGCACTGTGTGCGTATGGAGGGTGTGTGTGAGCTCTGCCCTTCAATTACAGCCTTGATCCCAAAGCCTTAGATCAGGAGGTAAGGGAATTTATGGGCAACCTTGTCCTCCTCTTCCTCTTAATCCCATGTAGCACTGCCTGGAGCAGGTGAACAGTTGAATCCTCTTCAGTTGTCTCCCATGATCCTTAGGGTTGCTGACAGGCCTGGAGGGAAAAAAATGTTCTGCCCTTTTTAATAAAGGCTTAATGTGATGTCATTTACCAAGTAATGTTTCTTTCTTTTATGCCATGAAAAGTTTCAACTGTCTTTCCCCACACATTATGCCTGTATTAAAGGGACAGGACATTTATCTCTAGGCAAGAGGGTTACTTTAGAGTTCATCTTCATGCCTTCTGTGCAGTTCCACATGGGACTGTGCTCGCAGAAGCTAGCCATGGAGAAGAAAATTCACAAGATTTCTAGCTCTTTCTAAGGCTATAGGAGTATCCCCCCTCTGGCAGACACCAATGTTTCCCCACCCAAATCAGCATCAGCACTTGACGGGGGCGGGGAGAGTGCTTTCCCCTCAGTTTTCTTTTTGCTGTTACAGAGAAAGGACCCTCTCTGTTTAGCTCTTTGTTTTTTCCTCAGAGAAATTTTTGGTGAAATAAACTTTCTGTTCTTTTCCATCAGAATGGCTTTAAGAAGTGTGGGGAGTGTGGGACAAAAATGACCCAATTTGATGACTATGAGTGTTGTCTGACTGGTCTGGGTGAGTCCCACAGCATTGCAGCATGTCCTGTATGCTGTAAGTCACCTGAAGGCCCACCCAGAAAAAGGGTGTCTCATTTTAAAGCTTTCCTTTGGGAAAAAATACTGGGAGCCTTGGATACAAACCAGCCTTATTGGAGGGTCAG